AGGTCACTGAGCAAATAGATTATAAATAATGGAATAGCTTTGTTTTTGTTTGCTTCTCCCAAGTTGGCTTTTCCACTGATATGTTCCCACAGTTATTGAAAACATTGCATTAGCTGGGCAGAATCGTAGTTCCACATTGCCTATTGTTCTACTGCACATTTATTTGAACAAAAAATGCTTGAGATTCTGTTACAGCTTTTGTTCTGTTCTGTTTGACAATAGTGGATCGGTGTTTGGATTGCTTTCTGAAATAAATATTTTGTGCAAGACTCTTTTGAAAAGGGCACTTAAACCACTCACGAGTTTGCATTTGCAGAGAGAGCAGATTTGCAAACATGTCCAGCAAGGTTTGGGGAAAAACGACTAAAAACCAAAACCAAAGTAACTACTACTTTTTTTGTTTTGTTTTAAACCAGGGTGGGGTTTTTTGCATTAATGTTTTAATAAAAAAAAGAATCCTGCTTGTTCTAATAATACTGTGAAACATTATTTTATAAATCAGAAAGCTCACTCAACCATGTTTTAATGCTTTCCAACATTAACAAACCATTTACATCTTTCAATAAAACACCAATTTTTTAATTATTCCCACTAAATCTAATTTAAGTTAAAGAAAAGAAATAAAAATAAATAAATAAAGGAAATCAGTCTTCTTGGCAATAGCGAGGGGGAGACACTGATACCACATGACTGCCAATATCACACTTGCTGCAACAGCGATGTTTCGCACCTGAAAACTAATGGCACAGCAGCACAACTGGGAGCTTATTGATGGGTTTCCTCCTTCAATGAAAAGGGACACCCTAACCAAGGTTCAGAGACACAGCAATTATGGGTCAGAGGCAATGTCATGCAGTATGTATCGCCAATGACACTATTTTCCAACTTTAATTGCAGTTTAAAAGTTGGATGTAGCAATCTCCTTGGACTTCTGTTCCTAAAACTACTTGGCCATTTTGACCATCAACCAAATTGGCTGGGCTTTTTTTAGAGCTGATCATCAAAACAGCTAGGGAACTAAAGATTGAGAATGACTGCTTTAAAGCACTTAGGACGTCTCTGTGTTTTGTTTTCTTTTGGAGACTATTTGTACACTTTTTTGTCTTTTCTTGGCACCGTGGGGCTTGTACGTAGGCATTGTACATTGCATAGCCATTTTCCTAATACATACATGTGCACACGCATTCCTGTGCTTTTTCACTATCCAGTGGTTGCCCAAAATGTTGTGTCACTGAATTGGAACCAGCCGCCTAAGCTGCTGTGGGTGGCATTGCTTAATGTGAGATTCTTGGCTCAAAAAAACAGAGCCTGAGAGGAAAGAAGCAGCAAGAACTCAACAATAATTACTCATTTCTAAAAATAGCAGGGTATTATCAGACCTTGTGCAACGTGGAGAAGGGAGAGAAATGTTTGGAGCTCTTCTTTGCAAATATTCCAGTGTTTCCTGAATTCCCAAAGTTCTTTAGAGATGTCAGCACCCAGTTGAGGGTACTCAGCACCCAATTAATAAAATTACTTGAAAGTCCTTGAGAGTATTGAGGATGGAGCAAGCTTGTTTTCTGCTGTGCCAGAGATGGATGGATGGATTCAAACTACAGGAAAGCTGCAACTGTTGGAGATGGACTGATGTCTGTGGCAGTCACAATAAACCACAGCTAAACAACCACAGCTTGGGGTGATATTTGACCTGATCCACTGGGCTGAAGTGTGTGAGTGTGGTTTTCAGTCTTTCTTAGGTGTAGTGAAGACCTCATGGAGAAAAGAATCAGGAACTTGATTTGTTAAATGGTTCGATGAATTTGGTTAGACTAAACAGCTTTACTCTAATTTTTGATACAAGTAGTTCATGATCTGTACCATAGTCAGCACCTGGTTTAATTTTGGCAGCCAGAACAGAGCCTCTCCATCATTTTTTTCCATTTATATAATCTATTTGGTTTTTGAACTGGCCACCTGGTGATATCCATGTTTACAGTCTTCTTTCTAGTTGTATGAAAAAGGTGTTTGCAATGACTAGGTTGTTGGCCTTACAAAATTCAGATGCCCACCTGCTTCATTTCTTTTACCTAATCCAAATCTTCCTACTGCTTTTTATTCTTCTTTGTTCTCTACTTTAGCGTTCCAGTCACCTATGATTAACTTGATGTCCTGTGTTGACATGTTGTCAGTTTCTTCCTGGACTCCTTCATAGAATCTCTCAATTTCTTCCTCCTCTTCCTCTATGGTTGGAGCACATATTTGTATTATGGTGATATTTATAAGTTTTCCATGGACCCTTATTGACATGACTTGGTCTGACTTTGCACTGCTATCATATAGGCTGGCAAATACCTTATTTTAATTTGTTTTGCATTCCTATGGACAGTTTCACGCACAGACTGCAATACAGGAATTTGTACTGCTGTCATATAGGCTGGCAAAGACCTTAAGTTTTGCATTCCTATGGACAGTTTCACACACAGACTGCTATACAGGACTGTCCCTCAGATTTCCTCTCCATCACATGCATCTGAGTAAGTAGGCTCAAGCCTATGAAAGTTCATGCTACCAATTTCTATCTTTCGGTTAGTCTCAAAGGTGCAACAAAATCCCTTTCGGTCCTGCAGCCACAAGGTTGAGAGTTCGATCCCAGGGCTCCATGGTTGACTCAGCCTTCCATCCTTTTGAATGTCGGTAAAATGAGTAGCCAGTTAGTTGGGGGCAATTGGCTTACACTTTGTAAACCGCTTAGAGAGTGCTGAGTTCACTGATAAGAGGTATGGAAATGGAAATGCTATTGCTACTGAGTTTCCAGACTAACACGGCTCAGCCTTTGAATTCTACAAATCCTGACATTCCATAGCATGTAGCCATGGCAGTTAAAGTGGCATAAAACTCCATTTATTCGTCAGTGTAGATGCAGACTCAGATAAAGAGTCAAACAGTCACTTTTTATCCCAGTCACCACAGACTCCCATGTGCTTTGAAATACGGTGAGATTGGATGTGTGGTTGCCAGAAATGCAAGTAAAATCTGTGCCCTTTAGAAATAAAACGGCTTGGCTTGCTTTGTTTGCAGCAGGCTGGGTAACTTCTTGGATGGCTTTTTCGTCAGTGCTTCCTTTGTCTTAGGCTCTGAAGCCCAAGAGTTGTTCTCAGCTGGGCTTTTCGCAGAGTGCTCTTTTGACTTGGAACGGTAAGCACATTCCTTGCGTCCTCGAGAATGTTAAATGAAGGCAAAACAAGCCCTTAGGCTGGCTGGGTTCCCTGTGGGTAAATTAAATTGTCTTGGCAGCCACCCACCATTCCTTGTTATCACCCCATTCCCATTGAAATGGAGGTCTCCGCTGCGTGTTATCAATGGTAGGTCAGGCAGCTTCGATGGACAGATGCTGTAGGCTGGCACCAGGAATGCCCGGTGCAAATAGGGACATGTCAGAAATGAAGCATTTCCTTTCAGAGAGAGACACTTGGATGCAACCCACATTAAAAATCTAATCGAGCTGCATCTGCATTGAAGAAATAATGCAGTTTGACACTCCAAATGCTGTGGTTCCATCTTATGGCATTCTAGGAGTTGTCATTTTACAAGGTCTTTAGCCTTCTCTGTCAAAGAGTGCTGTGCTCCACAAAACCACAAATCCCAGGATTCTGTAGGATGGAGCTATGGTAGTTAAAGAGAAGTCAAACTGCATAAGTTCTACAGTGTTTATCAGGGATTCTGTAGAAAGTCTGTAGATCAGACTTTGGTCTTCCAGGTGTTTTTCACATTAGCTCCAGGATTCCTGACTCCGCTGGCTGGGGCTTCTGGGAGATGAAGTCCTAAACAGCTGAAAGGCCAAAGTTTGGGAATGACTGGATAGTAGCTGCACCCTTAGATATGCTTTATTGCCTTAATTTTACCAAAGAGACCCTGGGATTTGCAGTTCGGTGGGAGTGCTAGGTAGTTCTCAGTTATGTGTTTAAGTAAGCCCTGTTTGCATACATGTCCTTGGAGATATTTAGATTGGGAGATTTAGATTTTCTTCTGGCATGGGATGTGAGTTGTGCAAGGAGGGTGTCACATTATGTAAGACAGGTGTTCTCTTCTCTTATCTTACAGTTGTCCATTATTTGGCCTTAAATGGAGGCCAGCCAAAGAGATTTTTTTTCTGCCTGTAGCACTCCCATGTCATGCATAAAGGCAGAGGTGTAGGGTGGAAATTTTTCCAATTATGTATATTTCTGTGGAAATTTTTCCACCACCACTCCCCCTTCCACAAACACAGGTATTTATCCATAGTTCCTTGAGCAGTTGTACTACAATCAATCATATTTGTTGGACTAAATACAGGTTGTTGCTCTCTTATCCGGAATTGCAAAATTTGGCTTACTCCAAAATCCAAAATTGTCCACATGGGTGGCTGAGAAAATGGCACCTTTGCTTTCTGATGGTTCAGTGTACCCCAATTTATTTACTTTTTAAATTAATTTTATTTATTAAATATTTTACAAACCATTACATAATAATTTACTTTACTTTGCTGCTTTACCCACCCACACTCTTTCTCATCTTCCCTCCCTCTTAAACAGCTTTACAGAGGATATGACTATACAGTGGGGCTTTTAGGATCCCCATGGACACCAAAATCCATGGGTGCTCAAATGCCATAGTAAATGATGTCCCTTATATAAAATGGCAAAATCAAGGATGGCTTTTTGGAATGAAATATAGGTTGAGTATCTCTTATCCAGAATTCCAGAATCTGGCATATTCCAACATCCAAAACTGGGTGGCTCAGACAATGACACCTTTGCTTTCTGATGGTTCAGCGTACCCCGACTTTCTTTGTTCCATTAAGCTGTGGTTGGTTAAATCTGTGGATTCGGAGGTGGTGGTTGTTGTGTGCCTTCAAGACGTTTCTGACTTATGGTGATTCTAAGGCAAACCAATTGGCAAGATTTGTTCAGAGGAGGCTTTGCCATTGCCTTCTGTTGAGGCTGAGAGCATGTGACTCGCCTAAGGCCAGCCAGTGGGTTTCATGGCCGAGCTGGGAATCGAACGCGGGTCTCCAGAGTAATAGTCCAACACACAAACCACTACGCCACGCTGGCCCTGTTTGGATACAGAGGGTTGGCTGGACAGATGGATGGATGGATGGATGGATCTTGTCCTGCTGTATGCGTAGAGTGGTCTTCCATCCTCAGCCTGAGTCTGTTGCAATGCTCCTGATCCAATCTGCTTGCCTTGCATTTTCTTCTTTTGCTTCCTCTTTTTTGGCCTCTCCTCTGGCATGCCAAGGAACTCTGCTACCTTATTTGGAGCTCCTTTGCTTGTCTACTGGCTTCACATCTGTTTGCTGGAGGATTTGTGTGTGTGTGTGTGTGTGTGTTTTGTTACTTGTCTATATATGGGAAATCTGCTGGAGGAGTCCCATATCTGGCCAGAATCGGAAGTAAGGCAATCTCTAGAGCACCGCTTTTCTCACGATGGGTGGATGAGCCGATAGCCAGCCTCCCTTTCTTTCCTGGTTTCCTAGGAACAGTCTGAAGAGGACAGATGTGCTGTTTTGACTTCTGCAGCTGCATCATTCCAACCTGTAGCCTTATATTCCTCCATATTACCAATATGGCAATTGGGGTGGGAGAGCATAAGCAAGGGAGCTTTTATGGCAGGCAGTTAATATTTTATTTAGAGGTAATGGCTTTCTCGGAGAGTTTGCAAAAGAGTAAATACAGTATTAGCAAACATATTGCTAAGGCCCCTTTCATATTACACATCTATAGCACTGCATTCCACTTTAAGTGCCCTGGTTCCATCCTATGGGAAGAGAGTATTTAGAGTTCTCCACTAGAAAGCTCTAGTGCCTGCCCAAACTACAAATCCCAGGATTCACAGGATGCAGCCGCTGGTGGTTAAAGAGGAATCATAAAGCTACAGCTGTGTAATATGAAAGGACCCCTCATCCTGGTGAATAGCTGTTTTACGTTACATTTGGATGAGCAAAGAGGTTAGATAGAGGTTGAGATTCTTTGTACTTAAAGATTGGGACAACTGGCCTTTCAGATGTTTTGGACTGCAGGTCCCATAATCCTGTACCACTGACCACACTGACTGCTCCAACCAAAGCAAGCAAACATCAAGCAAATGTGTGCGCTCCCCCATTCTTTAATATTAAGGCTTCTGTTCTGTTCTATTCTAAGGAGAGTGGTGCATCATATGAATTTTGGTTGAGAATGAGGTAGCTAGGTACATTTGGACTGGAGGGAAAAAAGACTGAAATCCATCTTTAGCTTCACGTGGAAGATAGACCAAACTTTATACTTTAGGATCTTGTCCATTTCCTTTTATGGCTGCCCTTTCCAATCCTAGTCCTCTTCTGATTTCTTGACTGCAGTATCCATTCTGGTCAGTATTTGATCCAAGGTATCTGAACTCTTTGCTGACAAAAGTTATTAATGAGAGAGAACATGCAAACTAGGAGTGGCTGCAGCAGTTTGCTTTTGCCTGAGTCCTTTGGGTTCCCTCCTCTCCTCTCCCCTGTTTAGTTAACCAAGTGAACATTACTTTTGCACTTTGAACGCAGTTTGCAGCAATTGAAGTAAGTTAAGAACAGAGAAGGAAAGTGGGAGGACGAGAGAGAAAAACTGGGACATTTTTTAAAAAAGCTGAAGAAGTGGGAAAGCAGAGGTTTAATCTGGACTATCCCTGCCAAATCAGGACAACTAGATGGACAGCTAGTGTCACTACACTTCTGCTCTTCGTGTGGGTCGCCTATTAAATTGGATTTCGTTTTTAATAAGAATTATCTTGAAACAGTGGGCCTTTGTTACTCCAAAACCAGCCTTCCTCTCTCTAACCGATTTCGATATCTTGGTTCCAGATTAAAAAGCAACAGCAAGATGTGCTCGGCTTCTTGGAAGCCAATAAGATTGAATTTGAGGAGAAAGACATCGCCGCCAATGAAGAGAATCGCAAATGGATGCGAGAAAACGTCCCGGAAGAGAACCGTCCAGCCATTGGGAATCCATTGCCTCCTCGAATCTTTAATGACAGCCGGTATCTTGGGGTAAGCGCCAGGTTTCCATTATGAACTTTTGGTCAAAATTTATGTATTTTTAAATTTATTCAGAGCATTTTTATTTTGTACGCAATCCAATATTTTGAGGGAAGAGAAAAATATTTGAACAACTTTATGGTAAGCTGCCTTGGATGATATAAATGCAATGAATGGAGAATAATAATAATAATAAAACATTTAATACTCTGGGAACTCAATAACTTAAATATCACTTTGCCCCATAAGAAGCCCCATACCCCAAGGACCAGTAACTTGACTTGGACCCTTATGGCCACAATATTGATCTGTCTCTCTCTCTTTTTTTATTCCTAAAGGATTATGAAGCTTTCTTTGAAGCACGAGAGAATAATGCCGTATATGCTTTCTTAGGCTTGACTGCCCCACCGGGTTCAAAGGTACGTATTGCTAGAATTTCATGTTAACCTTTGCTATTTTTGTTTAGATTTTCTTTTATCTTTTAACTGATTAATGTGTTAACATTACGGGTTGAGTCTCCCTTATACAGAATTCCAAAATCCAAAATATTCCAAAAATTAAAACTTTTTCATGGGTGGCTGAGATAGTGTCAACTTTGCGTTCTGATTGTGTACATTGCGTTCATTGTACACAGACTTTGTTTCATGCACAACATTTCATGCACAACATTGTTTCATGCACAAAATGATGAGAAATGCTGTGTAAAATGACCTTCGTGCAGAAAAATATTCAAAAATATTTTACAAAACTACCTTCAGGGGATGTGTATAAGGTGTATAGGAAACATAAATAAATGTTGTGGTTCGACTTGGATGTCATCGCCAAGATATCTCCTTATGTAAGTAGATGCAAATGCAGGTATTCCAGTTTGAACCCCAAAACACTTCTGGTCCCAAGTATTTCAGATCAGGGAGACGTAGCCTTTACGAACAGCAACAAATGAAAGGAACAGGAGGGGACATTTTTAAAATCTGGACTTTTTAAAATGTTTGTTCTGAAGGTGAACTTTGCAGAGAGATCTGTGAACATCCTCCCAACATGCAAACCTCATTGTAATGGGTTTTTGCCCTAGGTAGCTTTCAGACCTGTGTTGTATAGGTGTCTAGGTTAGTTAGGCATCAGATTGCTAGAGGGAGCCTCAGAGCCGGAAAAGTTTTCCATGATATTGATAACATGAGACAAGACTTACCCAGTCATGCATGCTTTTATGTCAACACATTAGGATGCTGGATCTGCTGCCAAACACAGCGCCAGATTTCACTCCAACCCTCCATTGGGACTTCATAGGTTAAGAAAATGGTATTAATATTTGATGATTTTTTTCTTCTTCTTCTTGGTTCATTTAATTTTTTTTCCCAGTATTTGAATTCTGTTATTCCATATAAATTACATACTTGAGGTTTCCAAAATGTCTCTTTCGTTGAGAAAAAAAAATGATGATGGCATGGCTTCTCTGTTGGAAAATGTATTCCAAGCAACTTCGGATACAGAACCAATTGAAACTTTCAGGAGCCGTCAACAAAAACACCCATCAAGAAAATTGATTTAAAATTGATCACCTGTAAAAAAGGAGGTCAGAACTTAAAGAAGGCACCTTTAAAAGCCACAAAACAATATCTGGCACACCTGTATAAGCGGCCTTTCCTAACCCAATACCCACCAAATGTGTTGGAGTGCAACCTTCATCATCCTCCACTCAATGGATAGGAGCTGCAGTCGGAATGATTGCGGGGTTGGAGAAGGCTGCTGTGCAAGAAGAGCACCCAGAATTTGCTGTTTCCAAAGTTTGAATGGGATTTCTAATATTTGACAGATGGAAGCTGATAAAGAGATGCTGGAGTGTGTTTGTCGGTTGTGCTCCGAGATCATTTTGAAACTTGAGGCATGTCTACATGGGCCAAATGAACTGCTTTCCCCCTCACCCTCGCTGCAGCCTGTCTTCACAATGCTGGACCAAACCCCCAATTTGACTAGGGACTGTCTTCACAATGTGGGGCCAGTTCCGCATTGAATCCAGGCCATCCCTGCATTTCGTTGGTTTAAAAAAGCTTACATTTTCCAGGAATATCTGGAACCCTCTGGAGCAATGTTGGGCAGCATTTTATGCAGCTTCGTGGTGTGCCACCGGCACTGCTGGCATGGGTCGCTCTCTCTGAAATCACAGTGAGGCATCCAACCATGGGATTGATGCTGGGCGCCTCATTTTTGGCCTCGAGGCCGGAGCAGATGGGCAGGAAAAAGAAGCTCAAACTTGCTTTTTCCATAAGTGGCTTGAAACCCTGCTGTCTTCACAGCTTGCTCCCAAGGTGGCCTGAATGCGCATGGCCTGACCGCACAGCGCGGCATCAAGCCACACCACTGGCTAAATTTTTGTCGCTTCCTCCCATGATGCGTGTTGTTGCACAAACACATTGCCGACGACCCCCAAGTACCTCCCATTGCCCACCTAGAGGCCATCCCATTGGATGGCTGCCGCTTTGATTAGCCACATAGTCGCATCTGCAATGCTCTGCCGGCACAGGGCATCAGAGCACTGGTGTGCCGAGTGATACATTTGCAAATCACAATCATGCCCCCTTCACCCGCCTTCATCCCATGCTCCCCACCATTAGACTGTTTGGTTTGTGTCTGTTGCAATTATATCCATTGGAGTTGTTGCACTTTCATTTTTTTGCTTTGCTGCAGCCTTGCACTGACATCGGGCTGTTTATATGCAGGGGCAAACATGCACATTTTCTGGGTTAAGCCGGAGTATCCTGCAATATTTTGCTTCGGTTTTTAGCCCCGGAGCGTGGCTTTGTTCTGGCTTCCATGTGTCATGTAAACACCCCACCTTCAAGGCGGGTGGAAACCACTTTATTTGGCCCATCTGTTCCATCCTTCAGAGAGATCAACCCAGACCAGCGGTGCTGGATGGCACAGCAAGACACTGTGTAGACAGCCTGCCTGGCATCGCTCTGGAATGTGGAATTAATGGGGAATTTGGGGCACTGGTACCAAAGTAACCAAGCTTTCCACCATGAAGAAGCAAGTGACCATTATGGGTGGGGGGGCAAGG